CAGGATTCGAGGTGCAGCCTCCCCAGTGCCCAGCACAGGGGGACAGTCCCTGCCCTGCCCCTGCTGCCACACTGGTGCTGATACAGGCCAGGATGCCACAAGCATGAAGGCTTCACCTTAGAGCACGGGATCACCCTCGAGCCAGGCTGTGGGAATGAGCCGTGTGCCTTTGTCCCTTTCTCTTCCTGGCCTGCAGGAGCGGATCAGTCAGGTCCTGAAGGATCTGGAAGAGGAGCGTGTGCCCGTGGTGAAGCTGGGTGACGCCAGCATCGCAGCTCCCTTCACCTCCAAGCTCTCCTCCATTCAATGCAGTAAGTGCATGGTGGGACCTGACACTTGGTGTCCAATGTAATAAGCAAAGCCAGGAGGGGGTGGGGTGGGGAGAAACTCCCCTGGTCCCATGGCCTGTGTGTGGAGCAGCCCTGCAGGGGTTCCTCACACAGTGAGGGGGTCTCTTCCCCCTGTGCTGCTTCAGAAAGGGAGAGGACTGAGGGACAAAGCCCCAGGACCTGCTTCATTTCCAAACGCTGCTTCCTCTTGCTCCTTAGTCTGCCACGTGATCAAGCAAGGTCGTTGCACGCTAGTGACAACCCTCCAAATGTTCAAGATCCTTGCCCTGAACGCCCTGATCCTTGCTTACAGCCAGAGTGTCCTCTACTTGGAAGGGGTGAAGTTCAGTGACTTTCAGGCCACTCTGCAGGGTCTGCTGCTGGCTGGCTGCTTCCTTTTCATCTCCAGGTCGAAGGTAAGGGGAGGCTGGTGGGGCAGTGGCTGGTTGGTGTCAGTCACATCAAGGCCAAGGGGAAGGTCTTGTACCTGGGTAGACACAAGATGTGTGCAAGATCCCAAGCACAGGCTGGGAGCAGGTTCTATGGTTCTGTAGAATCCCAGCCTGGGTTGGGTTGAAGGGACCTTAAAGCTCCTCCAGCTGAGCTTTGGGGGTGTCTCTTGCTGGTATTTGCTGAGAAACACAAACGTTGGTTGGACTCTGCTGGAAAACCACCTGGAGATGATGGAAACCGTTCGGCCCTTCCACTTTTGTCTCCCAGCCTTTGAAGACCCTGTCCAAGGAGCGCCCGTTGCCAAACATCTTCAACCTCTACACGGTTCTGACAGTGCTGCTGCAGTTCCTGGTGCACTTCCTCAGCCTTGTGTACCTGTACCGCGGCGCCCAGGCCCGCAGCGACACCAGGTACGTGCCCTGAGGGTTGTTCCTCTGCTCCCTGCCAGGCAGGAGGCTGGGGAGAGGCCTTGGCAGGGCAGGGATGAGCTGGAGCAGTTGGGAGTATGGTCCGTGCTACACGAGGAAGGGGAGAGGGACCCACTTGGGTTTTACTTTGTGATAATGGTGGGATTATTGAGAGCAGCCCTGAGGGGAAGGACTTGGGGGTGTCGGTTGGTCAGTGAGA